AACTTTTTGTTTTTCGGCTCAACACCTTGTATGTCCATTTACAAACAAATTTCTTTGAGGATTTCACCGAAAAGCGTTGATTAAAGGCACAGAAAGAGAAATTTACAGTTTCATTGGACTCTCCAGCTTTAGAATTTACCAAGCTTTGGCGGCCATTTTCTCGCTAATTTTACCTCTTGAACGAAGTGAACCCCAACTCCTTCAATCCAAAATATCTCCACATCTATTGAAGATGGATGGGTTATTTTTTCATTGAAAGCAAGACACATGAACAAGCTTTAAGATGACACCAATAACTCAACATGCCCAAAAATTGACGAGAGCCTGATTCCACCACGCTGCCTCACAAATTTCAAGATGAAGTTTACTCATGTAGTACATTAAAAAGATATTGTGGTGCCAGATTGTTCAAACACGTCCAGCACGTTACTGTGACTTTGTTATAACATATAATATGCGCTTTAACAGCGAGCCACTGAAGCTGTAGAAGCAATGGTGCTGTGTGTTCTCTCTTAGGCCATTTGGAGCATCTTTCGCTTCTTGGTTCTGGAGTCTTTGTATTTAATTCGTATGTTTTATTGTTATGTTTATAAGGAGTAATAGTCAATACAATACTATACTAATGATGTCACCAGTGTCTTAAGAAATATCTCTATTAAAAAGGTGCCATTTGTGCAATTTTTCGGATCTCTAAGTGTGCAGCTTTACACATATTTTTGACTTGGTGTTTGCTTGGACAATCTGTTGTTAAATAGAACTGCTTAATGTTTCGCCTTTGCTTTATAAATCACTTTCTCATTTCTAGCAAGATAATCTGACCCATCAAACTGTTTTAGCAATGACTCTGGATTGCATAAAACTTTTTCGGTCTCATCGTTCTTTAATCTCGGTCTGTTTCATGTCATCCACCTCTTGAGTTCGTCTACACATTTTGAGTTGCTTTGAGCTATTAAATGCTTGTTACCTGGCCTTGAAGACATGTACAGCTGGGTGTCGCCTGCGTACATTTGACAGGAACTATCGTGACTTTATTTGATAGAACTACGTGGTACTGGGTACAGATTGTATAATAGTGGTACTAGCTCAGAGTCCTATGGTGCCCCCGTGATTAAAGGTGTACATAAATGGCTTTCTTCCGCTCTCAAGATCTGACAGTGAACACTCAGATAGATGTGATTTGAACCACCCAAGAGCAGACTGAACGCCTAGAACCACTCAAAAAATAGAAGGTGAAATCTCAGATAGGTAGGTATGGATTGAACCACCTAATCAAGAACAGACTGTGAAACGTCTAGATGGGTATGATTTGAACCACTTAATCAACAACAGACTGTGAACGTCTAGATAGGTATGATTTGAACCACTAAATCAAGAACAGACTGTGAACGTCTAGATAGGAATGAAATGAAACACTCACGAACAGTTCGGGATATTCCAAACGTCTTTTCCAAGTTTCACGCCCTCATTAAGAAGACTGTTGCTGTCTCCATCCTGCCTGTTAGTGACAACTCCGGCTCCAGCGGGACACGCGCCCCGGCAGAAAGACGGAGATACTACTTCTGACTGACAACCCATCAGACATTCTCAAGTTCAATCCTTTAAATTGTTTCTCTTGTAAGGTGACGACAGCAAATGCACATATTTTTGCGTATTCATTCACGCACGCACGCACGCACGCACGCATACACACAATACTCTCTCTCACACATACACATACACACATACACACATACACACACAGACACACACACACACACACACACACACACACACACATACACACAGACATGCACACATCCTGTCTCTCTCGCACACAACATAAATGTATGAATGATACGTTCGGTTGACATAAAACTGAGCAGGCAATTGGGAAGGAAGATTGAGAGCATAGTTAAACAAGCTATTGACACACTGCATAAATATACACACAGATGATGGGGCAGGAGAATCCACATGTACCTGTATAATATGGTTGATTTTTGGGTACGAATTTTATGGCGTTTGCAACACAATTAGGCCATATAAATGTCAAATATAAGAGATGTTACGAGAGAGTAACGCACAAGAAAAAGAGGAGGAGAGATAAGCGTGCTGGAAGTTAGATTGGAAAGAAAGAGCAAACTATACAAGAGCACCTGGAAACCACCCATGCTAATTTACGTATCGGTAGACTTGATAACAATAACAATAATTACTAGCAGTTATATAGCGCTCTGTCTCGTTTGAAAACAAAGTCTTTGCGTTGTTTGGATAGATAGATAGATAGATAGATAGATAGATAGATAGATAGATAGATAGATAGAT